CTCCAAATTATGATCAGTCATTGTGGAACGGTATTTGGACTTAATAATCTTCATGTGGAAAAAGGCTGACTCACATATATAAGCAGAGCCAAATAATGCAGTCAAGGAGGTTGTTCATTTCCTCATGTTTGGGTACTTTTCCCCTGTGAGTGAGTTCCAAAACTGTCCTGGCCTTCAGCTGAAGGTCAGTCTGTAGTTTCAAAATCTCATCCTCCACTTCAGACGAGTTCAGGTGAAAATTTTCAGCGTTTAAATTTTCGATGCGAGTGAATCAACCTCAACATTGTCCCTAATTGGGTAGCACATGAATGTAGCGACTGGCTCTAGTAAAGCAAAGTCTTGAAAGCGTCTGTGAAACTCTGACCGACAGACAGCTGTCAATCTGCTCCGTGTAGCGTGCAATGTTCAACTGTGCACAAGCCTTCCGCTGCGTCTCCAGATCTGACACCAGGTTTTGGAAGTTCCCAAAATCATGGCGCTGCAGCTTTGAGGACTGAAGTTGCATTTTCCATTTAAAGTCATTAACTGCCTTTAATTTTTGTCTTTTCCTTGCAGCTCCAAATGAAGTTGGTCAGATCAGTTAAAAATGCTCGGTTAAAAAAGCCCATCAGCCACTGATCATCATTGAATTGGGTGTATTCTGCATGTTTATCAGCAAAAAGAAACTCCCTTATCACCGGACAGAGCTCTCAAATCTCTGCACCTACTAAGCCATCTCACATCAGTGTGGAGCAGGAGCTCAGAGTGGTCGCAGTGTGCCTTCTCCAGATGCGCACGGAACAGCTGTCTTTGAAGTGATCTAGCACGTATAGAACAGGCGATCTGTGTTGCCACATCCATGATCTCTTTCATGTTTAGCATTTTTAAGCATAAGGCTTATGGTGTATTATTCAGTGGTGGTTAAGGAAGTCGGGCGGAGTCTTCCCTGCACTTGGAAATGAATCAATTTGCGCTACCAACCATTGACTGATATCAGTTTGCACACTGGGAGCTGGGTTTTGTCAACTAAGTCTTCAAAAGACTGAAAAATGTCCTCTCTCTGCGATTTCACTCGCTAGCCTTTAGCGCTGGCGCGTTTGGTCACACACGTGTGGAGAGAAAAGACGAGATCTCAGACTGGCTGTCCAGTAATTTTTTTTTATGGCGATCTACCCACTCTTCATTTGCGATGGACCGGTCGATCGCAATCGACACATTGCCCTGGTGAATAGGACTTGAAAAGGGCTCTCCACTCCGAGCATTCCCTGATGCTGTACATCTGTCGGAACTCATTACGGTAGTCCTGAGAGAAACTCTTTCGGTTGGCCACACCTTAAAGTGTAAAGACAAAATACAGGAAATAATAGATACATTTTTTAGCCTATGCTATTTTCAGTAGATGCCTGACTACAACTTCACTAAACACTGTTTATGGCATGCCTGCCACCCAGTAACTGTGATGAGCTTTGTTTCAAATCAAAAATAAAACAAAGTCAAACAATAAATGCCGTTTTGATTATCTTTAATGTAGTGTGACAACAGAGGTGGGTAGAATATCCAAAAACCATCCTCAAGTAAAAGTACAAGTTCTTATAGAAATAATTACTCAAGTAACAGTAATAATCTTTATAGTTATTGGCGTGAGAGTAAAAAAGTATCTGATGGGGAAAAAAATATTTACAATTTACTCAATAACACATTTTATTGTGCAAGACTGTATACCACTAAACCGTGATAATTTCGGACACTGTTATTGCACCGTGAAAATCACGTACCACTGTGATTGTGATTCTCACGTACCCTGAGAAGTATCAGTTTATAAGTCAGTTACCTGTAGAACTCTTGACATTTCCACACTGAAGGTCTGCTTCTGATTGAGCTGGAACGGCCCTTTCCCAAATATTGCATTGAGAAGAAAACAAAAAACAAATTGAGCAACAGCAGTAAATATTCAAAGGGTTTTTTTTCTTTTTATACTATCAAAGGAAAACGAAGTTAAAAATATCGAAAACCCTCAAACACCCCCCTGCACCCCCTGCGCCCATCATGGCTACCTAATAACTGTTGATGGTTATAAAGATATTGTAAAATCCGACAACAGGCACTAAACTTTAAGTGCCTGTAACTCCATAAAGTATACAATACAGGGATGCCATTTATGAAAAAAACTTGTCTGTACAACCATTCATCATATATCTTATTTTCTCGGGTTTCTGAAAAAAAACATCATGTCCTTTATCCACTGGGAGATAGATGGGAGATAGATGGAAGCAGACTTCCAATGTAACAGTAGGGAACGTCTTGATATAAGGGATGTGAAAGCAATAACATCCTTTTGTATCGAGCTCAAAGGAACTGAGGCTTCAGGAATCCCAAATACAGCAATCAATGGACATGGCTTTAAATGTACAGAGAATAGTGGACATGATGGTTTAAAAAAAAAAAAAAACCCAGACCACAAACCATGGAGATCAGAACAGAAAAAAAACATATGGCCAAGATGACAGGGAGAGCCATGACACAAATCCTCTGCACTTTCAGTGGAGGACTCCAAACCTCTTTGCTCCTGAGCTGTAGACTCCTGCTGTATGCCAAATAATGAGCCCTTTCTCGGCACTGGCCGCTGCATGTGACAATGACGAAATCTGACAATGTAGGAACTAAGCACATTACCAAGCGAATTTAATTTAATATCCCTATTATAATAATTGCTACAAATAATCAGTTTGGAAAAACAAACTGATGATTAGCCGGTGAAGCCACCTCCCTGAAATGCGTTTTTGCAGTCTGATTTCTTGGTATCAGTCAAAAATGAACGAATCACTTTCTGGGACAACTTCTTGTTACCGAGTCATATGAAAGATTCGTTCCAAATTAAAGAATCGTTCATGAAAGACATCACTACAGAGAGTTGCGTCAACTCCGTTCACTCCAATGGATCTTCTTCTTCTATTCTTTTGTGGAGCCTCTCAATTGTTCCCAGCTAGTGCTGGTCAGAGCGAGGCTTCGTGTGAAGCAATGTCCCGTATTGTGTCGAGGCTTCGAAACAAACCAACACCCGTCTCCACGCTGACACCTAGTGGCCACTTTCAGGTGTTACTCTGAAACAACCTTGATAACCTTAATGTAGGTTATCTTTTTAAATTTTACATTAAAAAAAGTACGGAGCCCCCCTAGGGCCAGGAAAAAAAAAAACAGCCGTGTGCAATCTGTTCCCTCAGTTTAGCGCGTGCACCGTGCTAAACTTGGGTTTATATTGGACATTCGCTGTACTTCTCTCTTCTATTTCTCAAGAAATATTCACACAAAAAGGACATATGTATTGTCTTAATAATGTGTATTGAGTGGACATAGAAGCAATAAAACTGAATATATTTGTCCATTTTCTCCCGTTAAAGCCCGGAAGCGGAAACGGGCTTTGGGAAGCGCAGGTCAATTAGAGCTTTATAGTAAGGGAGTCAGTAAGGGACCGTCTAAAAAGTGCATGACCTGGGCGCTTCCTTCTTCGTTTCTTTCTTCACTTCTTCCTGCAGCGAGCAAGAGACCATATGACTTTTCGACAGCGTACAACTGCCTGGTAAGTCCAATTTATCGAGGTTAAAGAGTAGATTTAATGCTATGTTGAGTTCTATGGTTTAGCACGGTGCACGCGCTAAACTGAGGGAACAGATTGCACACGGGTGTTTTTTTTGTTTTTTTACCTGGCACTAGGGGGCCTCCTTAAAAAAGCCCCTTTTCTGAGAAAAAATTCACTCTCACACACTTACCTGTTTGACATAACATGTAGGACCTACAAGTGTATGTCAAACAGGGAAGTGTGTGTGAGAATTTTGTTTTTCTCAGAAAAAAAGGGCTTTTATGTAAAATTCGGTTCATGCTGCCATCAAGACGAACCAGGTTCCGAGTCCCACCTCAGATAACTATTACATTTTAAAAGGACAGCTGATAGGCTACTGAAACATTGCTGCTGTTAAAAAGAGTAAATAGCTCGTCACCACAGTTCACTTCTGTCTAGTTTCATAATGATATTGACGATTTCATTCAATACACGATGGCATATCTCCATGTATGTACTGTTATGAATGTCTTTTTAAAAATAATGTCTTACTGTATTAATGTTATTGTACAATTTTTCACTTTATTGTATTGTCTGTGATTTCAGTTATTAGAAAGCGTAATTAATGTTACATATGATTACTCTATTACTTATTATTTAAATATTTAAAGGTGGACTGAAAAAATAAAGAGATTATAAAATGTTTTACCACCCAGGCTCACAGAGTGATTACTGAAGCAAAAGTGTGATCTAAATCAGTGACCAGTCGTTGGTATATAAACAATAGAATTGTATTTTTGTTAAATAAATAAACAAATACACCAGATTAAGAATAACACAGTACAACACACACACCATAACAATAAACACAAGTCATAAATTATTATAAAATATTATTAAGGTATGAGCATAAGATTATTTAAAAATATGTACATACAAAATTGTGGGCAGCTGTGGCGCAGTTGGTAGAGTGGCTTGTCCACTAATCGTAGGGTTGGCGGTTCGATTCCTGGCCCGGGTGACTCCACATGCCGAAGTGTCCTTGGGCAAGACACTGAACCCCAAGTTGCTCCCGATGGCATGCTAGCGCCCTGCATGGCAGCTCTGCTACCATTGGTGGGTGAATGAGACACAGTGTAAAGCGCTTTGGATAAAAGCGCTATACAAGTGCACATTTACAAAATATATACATAGAACTATATAAGGCAATAAATAATATTTCTTTTTTTATTTGCTCCAACCACTGCTTTTTCTTTTGTTAGAATCTCTGTGTTTGGACAGTAAATAGTGCCCTTGTATTGGCTATGTCTAGTCTCTGCTGTCCTTCAGGGACCAAGTATTGGTCTGCATTCTTCTAATATATTGTATGCATGTGGTTGACTTCCTGTGGTTGGATGGCAGAAGCTGGAAGAACACTGCTGGGTTGATGTGAGCATCACAGAATGGTGGGGAGTGCTATTGTTCCCCAGCTTTAGCTCTGTTGGTAGTGTGGTGGACTGTAAATGTGTAACAGCATGACTATCCTTAAGTTGCTGGTTCAAATCCGACTCGAAGGACTGCATTTATCTGCAGTCCATTTATCTGTGACCTGAATGCATGTTTAGTGGAACCCTTAAGTGGGTTTGAGAAATATTCCACAGAAAGCTCTGTTTCAAACCCTCAGTTCTGGTCAAGCATGAAATATTTATTTTGCTTCCTTATTATCAATTTGTTACAACTTGATTTTCTAGCTGACCTGAATAAAAAGTGGATGGAAAAAATGACAATGGCAAGAATACTTTGGCTTATTAAAGAACTCAAACATTGCAATTGGGTTAAGGTCTTGACATTAACTTGGGCATTCCAAAATGTTACATTTCTTCTGCTTTAACTATTTCTTTCTAGGCTTGCTTGTCTTGCTGCATGACCCACTTACAGTTAAGCTTCAGTTACCCTGACATTTTGCTGTAGAATTTGTTGGTACAATCCAGAATTTATAGGTCCATCAATAACAGCATGCCGTTTCTTGAAACAAGGCAGCAAAGCAACCCCATACCCCAAACTGCCACGCCCATGCTTCACGGCTGGGATTAGGCTCATGTTGGAATGCAGTGTCTGGTTTTCACCAAACATAACACGTTTCATTTAAACAAATAAAAGTTCCATGTTGGATTTATTTATTGGACATTGTTAAAACATGATTCTTGCTTATACACGTGGTCTTGAGCAAACCTCAGACAGGCGATAGTGTTCGTTTTAGAGTGATTTAAAAAAAAATAATTTTGCTATCCTGCCACGCACACTGTTTGAGTGTTTGCCTGATGGTGGACTCATGAACATTGACATTGTTCAATACAAGAATGGCCTGTAGGTTCTTAAATGTTACCCTGGGGTTCTTTGTGACTTTGCTTAATATTATTCGAAGTGATTTTCTCTGGATGACCAGATTTTGGGAATGAAACAGTGGTGTTGAATTTCCTCCATTTATAGATCATCTACCTCACAGTGAATTGAAGGAGGTCAAACTCTTTAATATGGTTTTGTAACCTTTTCCAGCCTGGTGAGCATCAAGAACTCTTTTTGAGGTCCTCAGTAATTTGATGGAACACTTCCATAATCCTGTGTGGTGAAGACCACTTTGATAATGAAGACCCAGGTTTATGATCTTGAAACATTGGAGGTCCTGATAAGCTCACATTTAAATGTTGAATAATATTGCTCAATAAATAAAATAAAAAACTATTGTTTTTGTGTCGTTTGTTTAACTGAGTTCTCTTTATCAAGTTTTAAGACTTAGATGAAGATCTGATCACATTTCTGGTCAAATTTAAGCAGAAATACAGAACATTTTAAACGGTTCACAAACTGTCTAGCAGCGCTGTACCAGTAGCCATTAAATTCGCATTGTTCTCTGTATTGGACACTGTACTGACCCTGTTATAATTCTGACATGTGCTCTATAGGGACTTTCTGACACAGACAGCAAAAGCAGCACAAGGTACATTAAGTCATATACAGTGTTTATTTAAGGGTGTAACAATATGGCATCATGTAATTTGTCCAGAAGAAACCAAACTAGACAACACGAACCATTTTGCAGCTGCACTACTGCCAGAGCTGCTCTTAAAGAAAATCAATCAACACCTTGTGGCCAGTCACAATTCAGAATCAAACAGTGCTGTGGTATTAAGAGAAATGTTTTTTATTCAGATTGCCTCATTCTACAGTAAGCGCTACATTCACCACATATATAGTTACGCAGTTCAGGTTACATAAATAAAAGAAAGGCACTCAGCAATGCCAGAAATTTTATTTGTACACTGTCACAGAGAAGCTTGATAGACATTAAAGAAAATTTCTGAGATAAAAGAAAAGAGTTTTGTACTGATTTAATTTGTACAGAGTGTACAAATTAATGCTTTAAATCAGGGGTGTCAGTCATTCTACATAATGTTACATTCTACATTATGCTTAGTCCGATGGGCCAAAAAAAGTTTATTGACCAACTAAGCTGAAATCTACATTGTCTGCACACTACAATTCATTAAAAAGAAATAAAGTCCAGCTTATGGTTTCTAAATTTATTTGCAGAGTTTGATTACAACCTTGTCTTGTCCCACAGGTAGTATGTTTGACAACCCAGGTTTAATGCTACATTCAGAGCTTATATAACAGCACAATCATACCAGTTGGAATTTCCTAAAATAATACATTCCTTAATGCCAGCATAAAGGGTTGTGAGATAGATAGATAGATAGATAGATAGATAGATAAAAAATAATTTGTATCAATCTATGATATTACTAATCATCTCTTTTATTTTATATATATATATATATATATATATATATATATATATATATATATATATATATATATATATATATATATATATATATAATAAATAAATAAATGGGCACGCTGATTAAAAAATAATAATAAAAATACTGTAAACTTGACCAATAGCTCAGCCATAACAGTCTCTTCTGCACAACCTATAGGCAGGCAGTGTTAATGATGCAGCAATACATCTTATAAAATACCATTTTCACCCATTATTGCTCATCGATGATTTTTTGAAATAGAAAACTCACTTATTCTGCCACAGATTTTTAACTAATTCAGATTTTCTTGTTGGCACAGATCTGAGCTCACTTCGCAGTGAGGTGTGCCTGCTCAATAACAGACAGTGTGCTTTACTTTTCACACTCTGTTTATGAGTCAGCTTGAGTTGTGAGGATTTTGGGGTCTGTTTTGTTCCCCAAATTCTTGCTTGCTCATCAGGGATAAGTTCACACAATTAAAATCTGTATCCTGTTTACATGTTTCCGTAAAGCTGCTTTGAGACAATGTGCATTGTTAAAAATGCTATACAAATAAAATTGAATTGGAATATTTTGGTACAGTTATGGAAAATCTTATTTTTTGGGGGGGGAATGTGTAGATCTGTGTGTACAGTATAAACACTAATAAGAAACAAAATGGTTTTAAAAAAAACATTCAATAATGCTGGCAAACCAAACACTTTTATTAATAGGCACCATTTCAAAGAGGAGCAAATGTTTTTTCCACCACATACACGTATGTGAAGTATAAAATTCTTCTATCTGCTTTTAACACTATTAAACATTTGGCACGTTTGGCAAGAATCCTGGCAAGAATTCCAAGGTCTCTTATGTGACTGATTCAATATTTTAATGTGGTTTTAAAAAGTGTTCTACATTGAAAAGTGGCATGAAATTGCAAATTGAATTGTTGAAAAGGTAGAAGCAGACTGCATAGAGTTTCTGTGTCGGTATGAATAAATAATTATGGATGTGCAGTTAACCAGTGTTAAAATACTTTTAAATGTTTAAAAGATAATGCTACAAGCGACAGGCATGCATAGGCATATAGAAGCATCTACACTCCTACATCCTGTGTAACGACTAACGGCTAAATTTTATTTCAATTTTTTTGTAAGTAATGATACTTTTACTTAAGTCACTATTTTTGATACTCTAAGCTCCTCTAACAATTGCAAGTTATTACAATGAAGGAATTTGTTTCTAGTTGATATATTTAGCAACTTGCCACTGCTCCAGATACATACAGTAATTTAGATAGATGTAGATCTTACATGTTTTGACTTTGGTCGCTCAGTGCTTGAGTTCCTTCCTCACTCTCTGAAGTGTCGTCCGGCATTGAGATACTCAGCATTACCGCTTTGACAGGCACGCACACCATAATAGTTCAAGCTAACAAACAAACAAACAAAAACAAACATCAAATGAACGATTAAAATGTAGAGGCACATGTGTAACACAGTATTCAAGTAAACGGGCGTACATCAGTTAGAGTGGATTCTGTCCAACAGTTTTGTTGAAATTGTGGATTTGCACAGAAAAGAGAATAAAATATGAAATCATGAGACAGTGTCTGCTCCTGTCTGAGGTGTTCAAGTCAGCAGTGTGGATAAAGAGATGATGGTGAAGCTCTTAATTTTCAGTAGAGGGGGTGTCCAGGGAAGAACTTTCACCATTGTTTCCCCTAACACGCAAACACAGACACACACAAAATTAAGAATTGCATGCAATTTATTTATCTGGCTTCAAGTGTAGAAAATTAAATATTGATAAATATTTTTAAATAAATACAGAGTTACATATTTAAATTATATCCAGAATATTCAAAAAATACAGCAAACCTTCTTTAATTTTAAATGAAATTCAAGTTCAACTTAATTCTACCTGAAATTTACTTGTATGAAATACTTACATGTAATAATTCACTCTGATCAAGCCTCATAAGGAAGATTTCAGACGTGTTTTTTTTTCCCCTGAACAGTCAGCACTTATGGAATGCATATAAAATATTTTGGAAAGCAGCAGCAGCAAGGTGAGAAGTATGCAGAGCTGCCAACACCACCAACATCCAAGCCAACATTAAAAAACGATTGATCGATCGATCGATCGATCGATCGATAGATAGAAAACACTGAAATTGTATGTCGCCCAAATTGGAACAAGGAAAAAAATAAAAGTCAAATAATAGTAATTGAGAATAAAAGTTATAAAATATAGCCTACATACCGAAAGATTTTAAATGGTGACCAAAAGAAAAAGGAAAAAAAACCAACACGTTCAATGTTCATCATACAGTTTTAATTCGTTTCACTCAGATCCAGAATTTTTTTCTTATTAGCACAAAAGGTGCTCCATCTACTGCTTGTTTCTGGGAGAAATCAATAGAGAAATGAAGCAGCACGTGTGGAAGCAACCGCAGTGTGCAAATATCCTGTAGTTTGATTTTCACTCACTCCTTAATCTCATCTGCTTGTTGACAGCAGCCACTCAACTGTTTCCCCCAGACTCCAACTCTCAATCAGTTCATCCATTATCACAGTGAAGAACAGAATTATTTACTAATCACCAACTAAATCTATCTGTCTAATGTTAACGTCATCAGACGGCAGATTAAAGCATTTCAACTTCACTCATTTGGCTCCTTCTCTGAGGGTGATGTAGATTTACCTTCGTTTTTTATGGAGACAGATCAGGACACCGATCAGGAGTCCAATCAGAATGACACCGGAGAT